TTAGCCTTTGATTTGTTGTCATTATTAAATGTTTTTATCAGCCAACACTTTTTGATATTAGTCAAAGATAATCTAAGTAAATAAAAATTACTGTCACCAAACGATCAGATCAGTTGGTTTGAACGATCAGGTTCAAACCAACTTGGACCAATGTGAAAATTTGAATTGAAAACTGAAATAAAATTAGTTGTTTATGCATCCATGTTATACATTGAATTCTTAAATAATAAAAAAAATAGAAAGTTTTTCCAGTTTGAAATCTAAACTGTTTTTGAAGTGGAGAAGAACCATCTTTCAGTTTGGTGTATAGAAAACTTCCGGACTAATTTTTTTTTTATAAAACACATGAACTGCCTTTTTTTTTTTTTTTCCTTTCTTTTTTATGGCTTAATGAGAAAAGTGGGCTTTATCCTGACCTGCAATGTTTTAAATCTGGGTTTTATTGGCAGGTGGAAAAAGGAGAAGTGGTGCAAGAGACGCTTAGACACTATCGTCGGACAACATGCAGTAATTTATAAATATTTTACATCAGGTTGGGTCCGGATTAGAGAGCAGGTGGGTCCAGATCTGGACCCTGGTCCGCTACTCTGTGACCTCTGTTCTCTATATATTCTGGCAATGATGTTAAAAGTCCAAATTTGACAAAAAATTCAAAGCTGAAGCATTATTTCAATACTTTTTCACAGCAATGTCAACATTATCTCAAGAGATCTTGGCGATTTATATTTAGACTTCAAGCAATAATACTTGTTTTTTTTGGCTAAAAAAAAAGCAACAACAAAAAAAAAAATAGTTAACTTAAAATGCCGCCCAAGCCTGGAAGGTAAAAAAAAAAATCAATGATTATAAATCATAACAGCAATGGCAGCGTGAGATTAAAGCAGCAACAAAGAACACCCGTCTATGCCGACTACTGGAACTAATATCCCAGTGGAGAGCAGAAAAAAAACATGTAAACATCACAACATGAATTCACTTGCCCTTTTTGTCTGTATGTCTTTTTATTAAGATGATAAACGACTAGAGCAGGATTATTTTTTTTTAACGAAAAGTCCAATTGTGTCATAGGATCAATGTAGGTAAAAACAAGCTCAAGCCCAGGACAGTAACATGTAAGTCATGAAAAGTGCCCTCCAGGAATCTAACCATATTTACCTAGAAAGCAAAGTGACTTCAGAGAAATGCAGCTTTTACACCAAAGCTAACTGCCAGTTCAGGAAAGCGCAAGGTAAATATAGAAATATTAAAAATATATATACTTAAATCTAGAAGCATAACCTGTAAGCAAATGAAATCTCCCTGGATGTCTTGTACCCCTTCTCTATTGACAAAAAAAACGAGTTTAAACCTACGAACAATAATCTTTTAGTGGCAGACGGCAACGGCTAACATACCTGCGCCGACCTGCGTCAAACGATCCAGCAAGCCATGGGGGTTAAAATCACCTTAGAGTGACTCCACTCCGATTAGCATACAATGGGAACACCAGACACAAGTTGACCTAATAATTTACAAGATACCCTTGATCGCAACATAAGGTACGTAACAACATTCGTAACGTCATATAACAAGCCAAAACAACTAATTTGCATTTCATAAACATGGTGCAGAACTGGAAGGAGAGATTTGGATGAATAAAAGAGTAAAACAATAAAGCACACTGACTACACTCTGGCTCCCTTCCATGTTGCTCTCCATTGTTTACTTTCCAGATTTCTTTTGCACCAATGACATCATCAATGCTTACCCAGCAGCGGGGGGTAAGACCTAATGGGAAAGGATCTAAATGCGGATTGTTAGTGGGTCAAGCCATGTTTGAAAACCCCACGTGAAACCACTAATTTTAACGGGAAGGCACTATTAGAAGTTCTAAAAAGTTGTACGTTTCTTGAGAGTAACCGTGTCTTCTGTTAGAACTAACCTAACGGAATGTACACAGTGGTGCTGGAATAAAACCTTTTGAATTATGAGACAGTGCCCAAATGGCATAGGTGTCATAAACAAGGATATCAACACTCAATATTGGTAGAAAAATGTTCACATACGTTTTTGCAGGCCCCTATCCTTGCTATAAAGGCAATAAGACCTCTACCTCTCGCTCTGTCCTTTGTCTCAGCAGAGAAGACGACAATGGGAAGACCTCCTGAATGGTTTTCCCTGAAGGATGGGGTCTACACTCTTCAGATTGTGCAAAGTTAAGTAGACCTGCAGGCTACTACCAAAACCAGAATGCTGCAAAACAGACCATCTGCATCATCTTCTGAGTTTGTAGGCGTAAGTTTGAGCCAGAGGTCATAAACTAGAAGAACCATCAGGCAGCAAAAAAGGAAACAGCTAGCCTCCCGGATAGGCTATCCATTCAAAGATTCATGGAGAACATGGACTGGACATGTTGAACTTTTCAGAACATTAGAGACACCTCAGATTTGAAAAACCAAGATCTACAGAGTTATCAGACAGAAGAAGCATTTTCAGTGAAACATATTGGGTCTTTGATACTTTCTGATAATTTCATGTGTTATATTGTGTTCCAAAAGCAAGAGTAAGATAAGAGCGATAATAATGTTTTAATGCAATCTTTCTAGGACTACAAGTTTTAGGCAGATGGTCTTGCTTTGGTAAGTTTACATTTCAGCCGTACTCTCCATTTCAACATAATGGACTGAACAGTGCTCTGTGAGATATTCAAAGCTTTGAAATCTGTTTATAGCCTAAGCCTGCTTTAAAATTCTCAACAGTTTTATCCCTGTTCGTTGGACTTCATGGTGATATTTGCTTTCCAATATTCTCTTTACCGTCCTCTCAGGCCATCTAGGAGAAACGGAATATTCAAGGGGACTAGATAACACACAAATAGACTTTTAAGTCATCAGCAATCATCAATTTCTGATGGCCATTGATTGCACTCAGAAAAAAGGGGATAAATCCTTCTGCATATCACACCTTTCAGTTTTTATTTGTAAAACAACAACCAAGAAATCATGTATAATTTTATTTCCAAATCTCATACCACTTTGTGTTGTCTTCCACATACGAATCCAATAAAGAAGGTTTATTTTTTTATTTATTTTTTTTGTAATGAGTCAAAATATGAAAAGGTTTAAGGGGTATTTATACAGTTTAAAGCCACTGTATCTTCATTATTCATATCTCTGTCCTTACTCTGAAGTCTAAGACACAAGTGATGCAATGCATGGCTAACTCCCAGTTGTCATAGATCCTTGTTTTGCTTAAACAATTAATTCATTATATTCTCTATTGGAATTCCCAAGCAATGACTAATAAACTGGTTACAACCAATGCTGAGTTAAAACGACTTTTTCACAAATAGCAACTCATCTATGTGATATTATGCAGTGCTGACAAAACAGTTCAAAAGTTGTGCTCTTTTTGACTTACAATGTGTTTTATCTTTGCTTTCAAGCTCAATAAATGTTAATGAAAAGCAAGGAAGAAATCTAACTGCTTTGACTTTAAAGTTTCCCCAAATGTCTGCCTCAATGCACACAAAAAATATACTCACTAGGGTATTCAACTGCTTGATAACTCAGCAGCTACTCATAACACTTGCATCCAGAAACTGTATTTTTCCGTTAAGACAAATGATCCTAACTTATTGAAATGCCATGAGTCATGAGGATGTTATCCATCAGACGCCGTCTTTAGGTTTCTGAGAATAGAAGCTATAAAAAAAAAAAAACGTAGCTTAATCAGGTAGACAACAGTGACTTACCGTAAGTTGGAGTCCATTCCCATTTTATTTAGCACTTAATACTTAGAAATTATTTCCTATTTATGTTTATTGGCCTAATCCATCTTATTTCAGCTGAAATCTGTTTATTCTAAATAATTGGAAAGAGTCAGTAGCAAACAAATTTTTTATTTATTTATGAAAAAGATAGCTTCTTCAAAGTATTTTCTTTCTTTCCAACAGATGTGAGACATTATGAAACATTCTGATGAAGATGAATTCAATTAAACTGAGTTTGAAACCCTTAATCAATTTCCAATTCATGGAAGTTTCGCTTGAAATTACTAATAAAATCTAGCTATTGCACTTTTGATTGACTATTGAAAATTGCACTGGAATATGAAAACTATCTCAGTCCTCAGGCTACCACATCTTCTCACATAAAAACTTTATTGTGTTTCAATTCAGTTATTACAAACTTTAATCAATAAAAGCTTCTAACGCCTAAACCATGAAATAACAAGTGTCAGAAAATGCAAATATTTTGAAGCTAGAATTGAACAGTCTGACAAATGAAAAACAATTTTGAAAAGGCTTATCCAAATAATTATCTGTATAATTTGTGATACATTAGGAAATTTATTGCAGATTTTTCATTCACTATATTTGATTGTTTAATTATGGGTTTTTTAAGAATAAAAATACCCCATTGATGATTTAGAGGCCTATAAAATTCATGTATCAAACATGAGGCACTTAAATTATCAGAGTTTGTTCATTCAAAAGAATCTTAGAACAATTTCAAACATTGAAAGTATGTCCCTGGTTGGACTGAATATTACCTGAGGCAAGGAATTCCTCTGCCCTGATGTAAACTTTTCTTAGAAATGTAAACCACCTACCAGATCCTTGTAGCTTGATGGTGGGTTGCAAAATAAAAGGAAATGAGAAAGAAGAGCTAAAAGCTGGTGAATAATATCCTTAGTTTTCCCAGACATTCTCGGTGGACTTTCTAGGAGGAGCTGTGATTTATAGCCTCAATCTAAACTAATGCGGGGCTTTGTTTTGTCCGCTCTCGCCGTCCCGCTACAGGGAATCACATTGCCATTATAGAAGCTCTTGTGATTAAAGTCTGATGGAACAGATTATCATAAAATGAGCTGGAAACTTCACCCAGTTCCACCAGCATTAGGTCTTCATCCAGCCAAGCTCATTGGTATATTTACAGCACCCCACTGATCTAAGTTTAAACATTACAAGAAGTCAAAAAGCCTCATCTTTTTAGCCCATTTGTAGGATTTTCACTTACTCGTTGAGAAACGACGTCTCCCTCCATTCGGCTTTCAAGGTCCTCCTTTTGGTTTCAAGTGGTCGGCACTTCGATGGCAGCCGGTCTTCGAGAGGTCTGTCAGGAGCCGTCGCAGATATGTCGGAGCTGATTGATGTGAGGTCAGTGCTGAGGTCAAACGATGTCCAGGATGAGTCGGAGGAGAAAGAGGAGCTGGTGTCTACCCACTCCTCGAAAAATCTGTGTTTGGAATCCATGGCGGAAAGAGCAAGACAAAACCAGCTAGACATAAACTCGAGGTCGGGACATTAAGAGAGCTCATTGGGAAATGTAGAGCCATGAGCCTGTGGATGAGTCGGGATATACTTTTAGTGATCAGCCAAGAGAGAAAGGCTAAACAACCACAAAGAACCAATAAGAATGAACATTTGAGAGTTGAGACTATGATATTAATTTAAAAGAAAGAACCACTCAGACTAAAGAAGAAGAGAGAGCGGGAAAGAAAAACAGGAAACCGCCGCTGAGGACCATAGGGGCAAACACTCGAGAGCCAACGGCTCACATCTCATTAAATTCCATTTTTGCCCCACAAAAATTAAATTAGGCGGTAACCTGATAGTGATAACCAGGGCTAGGAAATCGATCCAAGATGCATGCAGAGAATTGCACTTGCGGCTCCTGTGGCTATGCGATAGCAGCACGTGGGAGGGCGCCGTCTTGGGTTGCACTGATACGCGGTTCATTACAAGAAGGCTGATCCAAAATGCAATTAAGGTTCACCACTAAAACCAATTAGACCTCTGATGCGAGAAGAACATGTTTGCCAGTTTCCCCACAGGTGCAATGAGTTGGGAAAAAAGCGGGCAGCTCTTTAGACAGGGAAGGTGCTAAAAAATAAAGAGTGCATATCCTATTTCAGTGATATCTAAGTTCTACTTGTTATTGACCTTTGGATTATATTCATCTGTGCCCATTAAGATGAACATAAATCCATTACCTGGTACAGTAACATTAAAGATAAATGTGTGTGTCATTAAAAGTTGTCAAAATGTGTATTAGATTTTATTGCTAAACTTAAAAAACGCTGGAAATATGGCATCAAAATTCTTCTTTTTGACTAATCAAGAGGTTGCGGCATGTTGGATTATTGTTCATATGTGTCACATGAAGATACACCTTATCTCAAGTTAAAAGTGAACATATTAGCAATCAAAACCAATCCGTTGATATATTGGAAAAGAAATCCAGTTCCTGTGATGTACATCCATTGAAAAAAATTCCCTTTTTCCTCATAAAGCCATCATTTATAAAAATTTTTCCCACATTACACACACTCAAATTTTACATGCTATATATTTAGAGGAAAATAAATTAAAGTTCTGGTATCCCCTAGCCAAAGTTTAGAGAAAAGTTTGATTAAAAAAAAGAAAATCAATGCCGTCATCTGAAAATGGTGGAAACAATATGTCCTGAATGGGAAGGAATTGGAGAACCTGTTAGGTTGAGGTAGGAAATTTCACTCGAGATACCATATTACAAGGATATAAGTTAAATAAATGTATAATAATAATAATATAATAATAATAAAATAATAAATGTGCACCAAACACAAACTTATTGCACTTTTCTGCTTTTTCTAACTCTAAAACAATCCACACCACATTATATGGGGAAAAGCCCACATCCGTTTAAGGACTTAATAAGAGAGGCTTTATGTTCATGGTCCAAGCTCCCCTTGGTTTTGGTGACGTTACGCTGCTACATACAGAGCTGTATAGTGGAGGATTTTCAGGAATTTTTGAAAAGAGCCACCCTCTCCATTGCACATGCACAACCCTGTAACCACTCCAGAGGGAAAGCCTATTAAATGCGTGCAAGAGCATGCACAAGCCCATTTCTCCTTGTGCAGACTGCACGCTGTTTAAAAGTTGCTGTTTGCATCACTCATACAATCTTACTTTCTAAAACATTTTTAATTTTACCACCATGTCAGACTCACCGACTGCAAGTAAAAATGGGGACGAGGATGTAGGGATATAGGACGGCCAGTGTGATTGACAATTAGGAGGACCAATTATTTTAATGATCCACCTGGAATTGAACATCCTCCAATATATCTTTAAGGTTCCTTCTTTATTTAAGCCTGAAAAGTTGCAATGGGACAATTTCTGTAAAGTCCAACCAAAATGTTTTATTTTATTCAAACAGGATCTCAGATGAGGCTAAACTAACTCACTATCTATTGTAATTTTCATGCAAAAAAAAAAAAAAAGGGAACCTAAGATGACTCCCTTAGGACTCCATATTCCATACTCACTCCATGTATGCATGCATGTATGTATAGAAGAGGGGACAACTTGGAAAAAAAGTTACTTTTTATTTATTTACTCTTTTATTTTTTGACAAAGAACAACAGGGAAACAACTCACTCCAAGGAAATGAAAAAAAAAAAAATGCCCAACATGTTTTATAACTTTTTCAAAATAAACGTTTCAAGTCTGAGGTCCTTTTAAAGCAGCTGAATTACATTTGGAGACGAATAAATAGCATAAAGATGCGCTGGAAGAATTTTGGATGAGGTGATCATTTAGAATACATCCGGAATGGACGAGTATGTAGAAATAGTTCTTAAATTTTTTTTGCTAATTAGTTTAATCATATTCAATTAAGTGAAGTGACTTATGGCAGAGTTAGTGCTCCTTTAAACAGACCACAAATGATGTCAAGTGAAATAAAACTGGCTTTTAACAAATTGCAACAAACAGCCACACATTCGAAGAAGGTGAAATTTCTAGGGGAGAACGACGACACTCAAGAGCCGACGTTAGAAACTGCAGAGGAGCAAAGGAAGCATAGAAACAGATAGTTCTGTTGCCGTCAGGCGGGTACTGTGGAGCACTGAGAAGCGGAGGAAGTCAGTCTTTGGAAAGTTCTTAGCTTCCAAACAGGCGTACAATCCTCTTCACACAGGACTTTTTTTTATCCTCCATTCTTAATCGAATAGGAGACAATCTTCAAAAACCTACATGTGGCAGGAAATTTTAAAAAAAGAGGAAAAACTGCAACAGAATTTAAGAAAAGAACCACGAAGTTCGGCAGATTGGGACTGATGGAAATCAGCGTGCATTCCACGTTAACGCTAAGCAGAAGATTGTAGTCCTGCATGCTGGGGAGATATGGAAGTAACTGGACCCGCAAGGCAGCAGAAAGAAAACGCATGCTAGAGAGGAAGAGGAACATAGAAGCGGGAACTTCTGCTTAGAGAAAGAAAAAATAAGCTGTCCGTGTCTCCTTTAATAAGCTGGTCTTGGTTGTTTCATGCTGTAGTGAGCTTCTGACGCAGACACGTATGCAGACTCTGGGAAAAAATCCTCGTGGAACTCGGCCAGAAACCTGAGAGAATTCGGCAGGAAACAGGGAGGTACAAGTAGAGGGAAAACTGGTGAGATATTCTGACATTAAATATTCATTATGAGCATTTATTAGCGTAATAAACAGGCCGTCCACACGTTCCAGTTCACACCAACCTTCCTGGATAACCCATGATTCCTATAAACATTAAATCCAATCCCCCTTGCTTTTATTTTATAGACGACCCAACGACACAGAGTGGGGATGGGAATGACTGACGAGCAGTTGCAGCAACAAAACTAAAAAAATAAAATAAAATAAAAAAAACTCCTCCTTCCTCTTCCCATCTAATCAGCAGCGGGGAGGGGAAACTAATCCGGAATCTTCTTAGTATCCGCTACTTGGCCAAATCCTCTAAATCTTGCCATCTCATCTTAGCTCCACCGGCCTTTCTAATCTCAATGCAAACAAATTATCCTCATCAGAGGAAAACTTATAAAGAGTGAATGTCGAGATGATGGAGCAGAAGGTAAAGGTCAGCAGCAGCAGGTTCTATTTACCATTCAGTCAACAGTCAAGGCTGATCCTTAACCCATTACTTCCAGACAAATATTCAATAAGAATGGATTTTGGGAGAGATTTATGTTAGGAGAGTATCAAAATAAAGCATGTTTCTAAACTCTGTATTCCGTCTGCATTTGACACGTTAATGCACACTACACCACAGACTTAATCGCAATCATTCTTATGGCGAGGAAGGGAGAGAGCGAGGAGATCAGCTGTGGCCAAATCCCAGCATGCACTGTGCATCCGTCTCTGGGACATCAATCAGTTTTTGCCCACTCGGCACAATCTGCCCCAAGGCTGATTACAGAGTAAAAAAAAAAACAGGAGTCTTTCCCAAAAGGGTCGAGTCAAAGAGCATGGCCAGCGACCTGCTGAGTCTACAACATGGTGGCCATCTTTATATGGACAAGAATTTCAATTCTATAAACAAATACATTAAGAAGCTTAAAAATTATAGGAATAAAATAAATACTCTTTAAATAACAGTTTTTTTAATACATACATATTGATTCCTTTTTATTTTTATATAACATATTGATTCCTAAGAATTTCAGACATTTAAAACCGTTTAAACTATACATATATTATATGTTTATACTTTTTTATATACTTAATATATATAAATAAAAAGATAATAAAAAAATATTTTGAATATAAATATATACATTTTTAACAATTTTAGACATTTAAAAGACCAATTTATGATTGTTTTATACTTTTATATATACTTAAATCATAAAAATAAAAAGATAAAAACATTTTTAATTAATTAATTTTGATCGCTTTTAGATGTTTAAAACACAATTTATGATTGTTTACACTTTTTATATACTTAAAATACACAAATAAGAACATAAATAAAAACATTTTTAATATAAATATATACATTTTTAACAGATTTATACATTTAAAAATACCATTTATGATTGTTTATATTTTTTCTATACTAAATATATACACTTAAGATAAATAACGACATTTTTAATATAAATATATACATTTTTAACGATTTTAAACATTTAAAAGATCATTTATGATTGTTTATATACTTAATATATGCAAATAAGATAAATAAAACCATTTCTAATATAAATATATGCATTTTTAACAATTTTAGAGATTTAAAAGACCATTTATGATTGGTTATACTTTTATATATACTTAAATTATACAGATAAAAAGATAAAAACAATGAATATAAATTTATTGATTTTTAAGTATTTTAGACGTTTAAAAAACAATTTATGATTGTTTACACTTTTTTATATGCTTAAAATATATAAAGATAAATAATAAAAATAAATAAATATATTACTTTTAACAGATTTCTACATTTAAAAGACCATTTATGATTGTTTATATTTTTTA